AAGAAGAACTAAAGAACAAACAGAGATGAACAGCACAACAACTGAAACGAAAAATACAGTAGAAGCAATTAATAGCAGAATAAATGAGACAGAAGAATGGATTAATGAGTTGGAAAGTAGAATGGTGGAAATAACTGCCAAAGAGTGGAATAAAAAGAAAAATAGAGGGGAAAAAAATTGAAGACTTTCTTAGAGATCTCTGGGATAGCACGAAATGCACTAACAGTCGAATTAGAGGAAGAAGAAGAGAAAAAGAAGGATGTGAGAAAATATTTGAAGATATGATAGAAAAAAATTTCCTAGCATGGGAAAGGAAATAGCCACCCAAGTCCAGGAAGACCGATGAGTCCCATAAAGGATAAACCCTAGGAGAATCACATCAAGACACATATTAATCAAAATAACAAAAATTAATTCAAAATTAAATTCAAAGAAAAAATGCAGCAAGGGAAAAGCAAAAATAATATATAAGGAAATCCCCATAAGGCTCTGCAGAAGCTTTGCAGGCAAGAAGGGAATAGCAGGATATATTTAGTGATGATAAGGAAAAACATACAACCAAGATTACTCTACCCAGCAAGGATCTCATTCTGATTTGATAGGGAAATTGAAAGCTTTACAGATAAGCAAAAGCTAAGAGAATTCAACCCAACCAAACCAGCCTGAAAAACAATGCTAAAGGAACTTCTCTAGGTAGGAAACACAAGAAGAAAAAGAATCACACAAACAAAACAATTAACAAAACAGCAGTAAGTACATATTAATAATTACCTTATATGTAAACAGATTAAATGCTCCAACCAAAAGATACACACTGGCTGAATGGATTAAAAAACAAGATCTGTGTATATGCTGCCTACAAGAGACCCACTTCAGACCTAGGGACACATACAGACTGAAAGTGTAATGATGGAAAACGATATTCCATGCAACTGGAAATCAAAAGAAAGCTGGAGTTGTTTTTCAGTTGTTAAGTCATGTCCAAGTCCTTGTGACCCCATGGACTGCAGGACACGAGGCTTCTCTGTCTTCCACTGTCTCCCATAGTTTGTTCAGATTCACGTCCATCAAGTTGGTGCTGCCATATCTAGCTATCTCATTCTCTGTACCCCCTTCCCCTTTTGCCTTCAATCTTTCCCAGCATCAGGGTCTTTTCCAATGAGTCAGCTCTTCGCATCAGGTGGCCAAAGTATTGGAGCTTCAGCTTCAGCATCAGTCCTTCTAATGAATACTCAGAGTTGATTTCTTTTAGGACAGATTTACTGGTTTGACCTCCTTGCTGTCCAAGGGACTGCAAGCCAAGAAGACTCTCCAACACCATAATTTGAAACTATCAATTCATCTGCACTCAGCCTTCTCTGTGGTTCAACTCTCACATCCGTACATAACTGCTGGGAAAACCACAGCTTTGATTTTGTAGACTTCTGTTGGCAAATTGATGTCTCTACTTTTTAATACACAGTCTAGGTTTGTCATAGCCTTCCTTCCAAGGAGCAAGCATCTTTCAGTTTCATGGCTCCAGTCACTGTCCACAGTGATTTTGGAGTCCAAGAAAATAAAATCTGTCAATGCTTCTACTTTTTTCCCTTCTATTTTCCATGTGTGTGTGTGTGTGTGTGTGTGTGTGTGTTTATTGAATGTAAAGTTTCAAGTCAGCTTTTTTTTTTTTTTCATTTATTTTTATTAGTTGGAGGCTAATTACTTCACAACATTTCAGTGGGTTTTGTCATACATTGACATGAATCAGCCATGGAGTTACATGTATTCCCCATCCAGATCCCCCCTCCCACCTCCCTCTCCACCCGATTCCTCTGGGTCTTCCCAGTGCACCAGGCCCGAGCACTTGTCTCATGCATCCCACCTGGGCTGGTGATCTGTTTCACTATAGATAATATACATGCTGTTCTTTCGAAACATCCCACCCTCGCCTTCTCCCACAGATTCCAAAACTCTGTTCTGTACATCTGTGTCTCTTTTTCTGTTTTGCATATAGGGTTACCATTACCATCTTTCTAAATTCCATATATATGTGTTAGTATGCTGTAATGGTCTTTATCTTTCTGGCTTACTTCACTCTGTATAATGGGCTCCAGTTTCATCCATCTCATTAGAAGTGATTCAAATGAATTCTTTTTAACGGCTGAGTAATATTCCATGGTGTATATGTACCACAGCTTCCTTATCCATTCGTCTGCTGATGGGCATCTAGGTTGCTTCCATGTCCTTCAAGCCAGCTTTTTTACTCTCCTCTCTCACCTTCATCGAGAGGTGATGTTCCTCTTCCCTTTCTGCCATTAAAGTGGTATCATCTGCATATCTGAGGTTGTTGCTATTTTTCCTGAGAACCATGATTCCAGCTTGTGATTCATCTAGTCTAGCATTTCGCATGATGTACCCTGCTTACAAGTTAAAAAGAGTGATGATATACAGCCTTGACGTACTCCTTTCCCAATTTGGAACCAGTCTGTTATTCTACGGCCAGTTCTAACTGTTGCTTCTTGTTCTGCACAGAGGTTTCTCAGCAGGCATGTAAGGTGGTCTGGTATTCCCATCTCTTGAAGAATTTTCCACAATTTATTGTGATCCATACAGTCAAAGCCTTTAGCATAGTCAGTGAAGCAGAAGTGAAATTCACTCACTCGTGTCCAGCTCTTTGCAACTCCATGGACTCTCCAGGCCAGAACACTGGAGTGGGTTAGCCTTTCCCTTCTCCAGGAGATCTTCCCAACCCAGGGATCAAACCCAGGTCTCCTGCATTGCAGGCAGATTCTTTACCAGCTGAGCCACAAGGAAAGTCCAAAACGTGTTAGTCATTCAGTCATGTCCGACTCTTTGCGATCCTATGTATATTCCAGAAAAAAAAGCTAAATGAACTGCAGATAGTTACCTGGGAAGACAGCTTACCTGGGGATTTCTGTGTACTCCTTCCTATATAAATTATACACACAAATTACTTTCATAAAAAATAAAGACTAAATGAAAAAAAGGCAAAAAGTTGAAAACATACCAAAATGTTAACAGAAGTTTTCTTTAGGAAGTTAGCTTTCAAATCTTTTATTCTTTTGTATTCTCACATTTTCTAAGATAATAATTTCTTAAAAATCAGAGTGGAAAAACAGAAGGGCCTTGTCTTTCATTTGTGTGCTTGACGCTTAACATGGTGTTTTTAGTTATCTCACTTAATCCTCATAACAACCCTGTGAAGCAGATATTACAATTTTGAATTTTACCATGAAGAAAATAAGAGTGATGAAACTTACAAAAGGTCATTTATGTAACTACTGTCACTTTTTTTCCTACACCATAAAAAGTATTGATAATTTAAAAATAAAGAAGAAAGATGTGGATAGAAGAGAGGAAATGGTTATTTTTAAAGGTAAATGGAGATAGGTATGGGGCCCCAGTGAAAGGCAAAATTATCATACACATAAAGGGTACTCATTCTAAACCGTTTATGTACACAATTTAATGTAATTGATGCATATAATTAACTGTCAATGTAATAAGGATTTGTATATCAGGCTTATAGTATATAAGTTCAAACAGGAAAACTAGATTCTTTTGCAGGAGGTAAGATGGAAGCTGCTGGCGCCCTCTCTTAGTAACTTAGGCAATGGGGAAAGTCAGCCTGGTGAGCATATAATGAATGATTCCTAAATGGCAAACGACTCCAGGATTCTTGCCTGGGGAATCTTGTGGACGGGGACTCTGGGGTGCTATACAGTCCATGGAGTCACAAAAGAATCGGTCATGACTTAATGACTAAACAACAATAATGAAAGCAAAATACATATTTTTTTAATATAAACTCGAAATTATATCTACATAGACTTGAAACTGTGGATTTTTTGTTATTTGATTCTTAGGATAACAAATTAGTCAAATTAAATATGGAATAAAATGAAATTATACATGAAGTTTTTATAAGCTTTGTTCATCTTTTCTACACAGAGAATACACATTTTACATTTTTTAGCATTTCCTATTCTAATAATTTTATTTTTTTCAAAACAAGCATTCTATTAAAAAAATTTTTTTTCTATTCTTTTCCAAATTCTTTTTCCCATTTAGGTAACTACAGAATATTAAGCAGAGTTCCCTGTGCTATACCTGTACGTCTCTGTTGGTTAGCTATCCTAAATATTGCAGTGTATACATGTCAGTCCCAAACTCCCAGTCTATTCCTCCCCACCCCATCCGTCCCTTCTGGTAATCGTAAGGCATAGAGAATATATACTTTAAATGCTGAGATGAAATGCTACCTACTAGGCGTCACTTTCTCTAAACTCTAGAAACAGAATGAATTACTTCCCCCTCCATAACACTGCTGGAATATTCATCACAATGAATCACAAGTAATTATTTACAAGTTTATCTATCCTGTTAGATAATGAGTTTTAAGAGTGCAAATGCTGTAGATTATTCATGTTTTATTCTTATTGCCAAATAAAACTTCTGGTTACAAAATAGGTCCTGGCAAAAACTTGTTTGAATTAATACTAAGTTAACTGAGTTAATACTGAGTTAAAACTGAATTAATACTGAGTTAAAGAAGACGATTCATAAGTACAATGAAAAGGAAATACACTGAAAAGACAGAATCCATTATTAGATTTATTGGAACTCCTCTGTTTTCTTTTAGACACCGTCACCAAGGCCATCATTTTAACATGTAACTCAAATGCTACTTCCACCCTTAAGTTTCTCCTGATTTTCTCCAGTTACAAATATCTGTTCCTTTCTCTGCACATCTAAACACTTTTCACTTCTATTAATAGCCTTTCACTTTCCTGTTTTTATTTTTAAAAAATTCTTTAAAGAGACAATATCCTATCTTATTCATCTTTTAATGTACAAGATCTACCTACCATTGGCCTAGCATATAATACACATTCCAGGAATGCTTGCTAATTAACAATTTATTAGACCTGAAAATATTCAAATCATTATAGATAGTCTGCATAATTTCCATTATAACCAAGATGAAGGCCAGAGTAGTCTTAGGAGCCTTTGGTCTTCCTGATAAGTCCTTCTATTACATCCCACTGATCCTTGGTGACCTACCACAAAAAGAAAAAGTCAATTTAATGAGGTTCTTGTGTGTTTTTAAAGCTTAGTATCCTCACTGTTAATATTGTATTACATTCACAAAATGGCATTACCTTCCTCAGACTGTTGAATTCCCCTGAAATAAGTACTTCCTCTCCACCATCAAATCTGATTACCTAAAAAATGATAATAAAAGCTGTGAAATTAACTTCTTTTTAAAAGTTTTCTGAACCATTAGCCATTTTTCCCTTCTAACTGGCTGGAATATCTCTTTGACACTTTCAATCCAAGCACAAGTTTTAAAGACAAAACTGACAATTAAACATAGATTGATTTACTCTCTTAAAAATCCTCTCTCCATCATCTATGATTTCAAATTCTACCCAGTCTTAAAGATCAGCTTAAAGGCATGTCTACCAGAGCTATTTGCATTTAATAAAATTAATTTATTAAAGAATCAACTCCATAAGCTTAAATTATATTAGTATTTCTATATTATAAATAACATCCTAAATACAGTTCATTAAATAATTTAAATCATATTTACATTCAACATTGTTGGGATTGGTTCTGCAGTCCACCTTCCCACCCCAAATCCACCTCCCAAAAGTGTTGAGAGAGAAAACAATGCTTACAGCTCCATTAATCCAAGAAGCATAATCACTACAAAGGAAAGCAGCAAGATTTGCGAGTTCTTCCACAGTCCCCAGCCGACCACAGGGAATTCTGTCAATTATTTCTTTTTCAAATGCTCCGGTTGGGTCAAGACGGCTAAAGGCACCCTTAGAAGTTAAGAAAATAGTTAGGTTGCTTTTAAAGAAAATCCTATTTAAGAAATAAATTTGCAACAAATGGAATGTTACTAAGGCAGCCTGTTCATATCTTACTCCTTATATGCAAAAAGTTTTGCCAAATTCTTCCATATTCATTTTGCCTAATATTGACCCTTAAAAAGCCACTAGAACATATAACCTTTCTCCATTAGTTTCTCCATAAGTAAAATGAGGACGCCTGTCTGAGCTAGCTCACAAAATTGTTGCCTGAGAAATGAGAAAATGTATACAAAAATACTCTGAAATACGTACAAGTTTAGTGTGATGTAAGTAAGGAGGCTATTGCCATTTGATTTAACACAGAAAAATGACCCCAGAAGAAAATATTTAAGAGGAAATTCCTTTTCCTTCTCCTTTTTTTCCTCAAAATCATAGGAAAGGAAGAAAACAAGTATGTAGTAATATTAAACTCAAGTAGATCCCAGAGAGAGAAAAACCATAACTAAACCTGCCAAACAATTTCTGCCTTCTGTGAATGATGAGGAGGAGCAGGCCAAGATAAAGGATGCACGCCTGTGCTCGAGCGTGTGAGTTGCTCAGTCGTGTCTGACTCTGTGACCCCATGGACTGTAGCCCGCCTGGCTCCTCTGTCCATGGGGATTCTCCAGGCAAGGATACTGGAGTGGGGTGCCATGCCCTCCTCCAGGGGATCTTCCCGACCTAGGGACTGAACCCATATCTCTTATGTCTCCTGCATTGGCAGGTGGGTTTTTTAGCACTGGCGCCAGTGGGGAAGCCCAAAGTATGCATGCACACTGATTAATGAAAGTGATTGACTTTTCCTCCACGAGTGCCTGGAAGTCTGGGTGACGATTCTGTTCGGTAACACAGACATGAGCCAGAGCAAGCACACACAGGTTCCTTGAGCCCTTCAGCCTTCCCTAGACAGGTGTAAAGAAAATCATAGACAAAGGTGTCAAACCTGGTTCTATCAGTGCTGGCTACAGAGTTTCCATACTTCAATTTTCCTTTAATTTCTTTAAAATTATATGCTTGTCATTTGCATAAAACGCATACCTAGACTGCTAAAGCTCCTGGATGGCAAGCATTTTGTCACAACTGTTTTTGTATCTTTCTCAGCACCTCTGCATACACAATGCACTCAGTAAATATATGTTAAATAAATAAAAAATGCAGATGACCTTTCCTAGATATTGAGGTCCTAGGATGAAGTTTCGATGACTGTTTAATCCTTTTCAGACAGTGCTTAACACAGTGATACTCTGAATCAATTTTAATATGTGCATTTGAATTATTTTTCCATTAATTTTATCATTTTTTATAATTTAAGTGCCAAACAAGATGTTCAGTCAAGTTTCACTTAGGCAGGTTTTCTATCTTCCACCCTTCAAACTACTTAATTAATACAACCATCTTCATGTTAATACTTAACAACCCAGAACCACCTATAAGGCAAATGTTCCTTAGCATTATTTTCCGTTTATATAACAATACTGGAGTGGGTAGCCATTCCATTCTCCAGGGGATCTTCCTGATCCAGGGATCAAATCCAGTTCTCCTGGATCGCAAGGCAGATTCTTTATCATTTGAGGCACCAAGAAAGCCCCCTCAGTTTATTAAGTTAAAGTTAGCAAATTCCACCTGGGCCTTCAAAGCAACATTGCAGGTGGGATTAAAATTCCTGCTTTACATGAAAACAAAAAAGTATGAGAAGAAAGTTATTGGGGATAATGTGAGAGAACAGAGAATCTGTGAACTTTTTCAGCAATGTCTATAACAGCATAAGTGATAATTATGAGTTGCAATGAATATCTGGTTATAGGTAAATTACATGCCGTCAGAAGAAATTTTTAATACCAGAGACATGGGAATTAGATGATATACATAACTGAGTGTTTAAAGTGAAAAGGCACAGATACGACTCAAAGAAAATGCTACCTATTTTCTACATATAAGACCAAGCTTATATGATAAATTTAGAAAGCATCTCTAACATTTAAAATATAGTTACACATCCATGATTTTAAAAAAAGGATGTCAAAGTAAGAACCTGTAAAATATATTAAAAAATAAGAAATATAATAACAGATCATTAAAACAAATCAGACAAAATGCCAAAATTCATGGCATAGAAGATCCCAGAAAAATTATATTAAGACACTGAAATAGACCTTATGAAGGAGTCGTGAAACTGCTATTTTCTTTCCCAGCTCCTTATTTCTCATGCTGGATAATAACAAAACCGTCTGCCCGTCTCCCAGGGCTCTAAACTCCGGCAACCTTGGAAAATGCTGCCCATTGCAGAACACATGTATTAATCGTCCACTCCTTAACCAAACTGCTATTTTCTTTCCCAGCTCCTTATTTCTCATGCTGGATAATAACAAAACCGTCTGCCCGTCTCCCAGGGCTCTAAACTCCGGCAACCTTGGAAAATGCTGCCCATTGCAGAACACATGTATTAATCGTCCACTCCTTAACCACTCAAAACATGATCATAAGCAAACCAAAACTTACTTTGGTTTTTATAGGCCCTGGTTGAATCACATTGAATCTCATTCCATATTTACCCCATTCAGCTGCAAGAGACCTAAAAATTCAAACAAACAGTACCGATTTAAAAAATATTATACTATGAATTACAAATACCATTAACCAAGACTTACTACATGCCAGAGACTACAGCTCCAGTAGGTAAGCACTATTATTCCCTGTGTTACAGACAAGGAAACTGAGGCACAGAGAAAACAAATGGTTGGCTCTGGGTCATATGGCTAGTGAGTCTTCAACTTCCAGAAGTCTAGCTCTAGAGTTTGCGCCCTTAGTCACACGCTTCTGTATTATATAACATTTACATTCTAGTGTCCTAGGCACTATGCTAGACTACCTACCATTCACATTTTAGCATGAAGACCAATATCAGCATACATTTTTAAAGAGGATAACACTATTTAGCATAAAGAACTGAGAGAATGATGTCTCTTCCTCACATTTTCTGGAGTTCAATGCAACTTTACTTTTTGTACATTAGATCACAGTGTCTGCAACATTACAAGTGCCTTCATCGAGTAAATGATGGAAACTGTGTAAAACGTGCCAATATTGCTCAGAGGAAGAAGTACCCATCTCTACCAGGAGAAAGAGGGAAGGCTTCCTTCAGGAAGTGAGAGTTGAGCAGACACTTGAAGAAGGATTAGGAGGTTTTTGTGGGAGTAAGGGGAAAAGAGAAGAGGATGGAAGATACTGGAAGGGAGGGTGGAGAAAAGAAGACTGTCCAGGTACATGGGCCAGTGGGTGTAAAGGACAAAGGCAAACAATACGCAGTCTCCAGGACCTAAAAGACCTTATCTGGTATGACTGTGTGCTACAAGGTATGGAAGAGGGCCGATGGGAACTCAGGCTGGGGAAGAACACACACATTTATTGAGCATCTACTATGTGTAATTCACTGTGTAGTAATACAATATCAAAAAAGCAGCATAGGATCATGGCCCTTAAAGAACATGAAATTCAAATATCTAATAAGATCTCGGCAAAACAAATACAGATATTGTAGAAATGGTGTCAAAATAGTCAAATTCTAAGCTCTTATTTCCAATATCATTTCACCTTAAAAATGGTAATTATATCTCTTCAGACTAAGTTTAAACTGCTGAGTAAAGTACAATTTTGTCTCCCAAACAAATGTGTATTATTAGCTTACAAGTTAAAAAGTACCTTAAAACTACTCAAAAAAGAGAACTGTATAGTTCAGCAGGAACTGAGCATTGGTTGTGTACCAGATCTTGCCGAGCAATGAGCAAGATGAGTAAGATCTGCTTTCTTCTCTCACAATACACAGATCCTAGTGGGGACGTTATATAGCTTTAATAATATATTAAAAATGGTCTAAAATGCCCTTCTCTGTGCCCCTCCATTTTATAATCTACAACACAAGATAGCCTTTATTAATGTGTGACTCTTCTCATTAGATTAGAATAAACAAAGTTTTAAAGGTGCAAAGGGTTATTGTTGCTCAGTCGCTAAGTCCTGTCTGACTCTCTCCAAGTCCCCATGGACTGCAGAATGCCAGGCTTCTCTGTCCTTCACTATCTCTCAGAGCTTGCTCAAATTTATGCCCATTGAGTCAGTGATGCCATCCAACAATCTCATCCTCTGCCACCCTCTTCTGCTTTTGCCTTCAATCTTCCAGAGAATCAGAGTCTCTTCCAATGAGTCAGCTCTTCCCATCAGGTGACCAAAGTGTTGGAGTTTCAGCTTCAAAATCAGTCCTTTCAATAAATGGGTTGATTATCTTTAGGACTGACTGGTTTGATCTTCACACAGTCCAAGGGACTCTCGTGAGTCTTCTCCAGCACCACAGTTTGAAAGCATCAATTCTTTAGTGCTCAGCCTTCTTTATGGCCCAACTCTCACATCTGCACATGACTACTGGAAAAACCATAGCTTTTCTATATGGACTTAAGTCAGCAAAATGATGTCTTTGCTTTTTAATGCACTGTCTAGGTCTGTCATAGCTTTCCTTCCAAGGAGCAAGCATCTTTTAATTTTGTGCCTGCAGTCACTGTTTACAATGATTTTGGAGCCCAAGAAAATAAAGTCTGTCATAGCTTCCAATTCTCCTTATTTGTCATGAAGTGATGGGACTGGATGCCATGATCTTTGTTTTTTGAATGCTGAGTTTCAAGACAACTTTTTCACTCTCCTCTTTCACCTTCATCAAGAGGCTCTTTAGTTCCTTTTCACTTTCTACCACTAGAGTGGTATCAACTGCATATCTGAGGCTGTTATTTCTTTCAGCAGTCTTGATTCCAGCTTCTGATTCATCCAGTCTGGCATTTTGCATGAGTACTCTGCATCGAAGTTAAATAAACAGGGTGACAGCATATAGCCTTGTCGTGCTCCTTTTCCAATTTTAAACCAGTTACTTGTTCCACGTAAAGTTCTAACTGCTGGTTCTTGACCCTCATACAGGTTTCTCAGGAGACAGGTGAGGTGGTCTGGTATCCCCATCTCTTTAAGAATTTTCCAGTTTGTTTTGATCCACCCAGTCAAAGGCTTTGGCACAGACAATGAAGCAGAAGTAGATGTTTTTCTAGAATTCCCTTGCTTTCTCTATGATCCATTGAATGCTGACAGTTTGATCTCTGGTTGCTCTGCCTTTTCTAAAGCCAGCTTGCACATCTGGCAGTTCTCAGCTCATGCACTGCTGAAGCCTGGCTTGAAGGATTTTGAGCATCACTTACTACCACATGAAATGAGTACAGCTGTGCAGTAGTTTGAGCATTATTTGGCATCACCCTTCTTTAGGTTTGGAATGAAAACCGAGCTTTTCCAGTCCTGTGGCCACTGCTGAGTCTTCCATGTTTGCTGACATATTGAGTGTGGTGCTTTAACAACATCAACTTTAAGGATCTGAAATAGTTCAGGGGGAATTCCATTGCTTCCACCAGCTTTGTTCGTAGGAATACTTCCTAAGGCCCATTTGACTTCACACTCCAGGATGTCTGGCTCTACACGAGTGACACCATCATGGTTATCCCAGCCATTAAGACCTTTTTGGATAGTTCTGTGTATTCTTTCTCCCTCGTCTTAATCTCTTCTGCTTCTGTTAGGTCCTTACTGTTTCCATCATTTGTCGTGCCCAACCTAACATGAAATGTTCCCTTGGTATCTCCAATTTGCTTGAAGAGATCTCTAGTCACTCCCATTCTACTGTTTTCCCCATCTACTTCTTTGCATTGTTCATTTAAGAAGGGCTTCTCATCTCTCCTTGCTCTTCTCTAGAACTCTGCATTCAGTTGGGTGTATCCTTCCCCTTCTCCCTTGTTTTTTGCTTCTCTTCTTTCCTCAGCTATTTATAAGGCCTCCTCAGACAACCATTTTGCCTTCTGGCATTTCTTTTCTTGGGGGACGGTTTTGGTTACTTCATCATGTACAATGTTACAAAGCTCTGGCCACAGTTCTTCGGACACTCTGTCTACCAGATCTAGTCCCTCAAATCTATTTGTCACCTCCACTGTATAATCATAAGGGATTTGATTTAGGTCATACCTGAATGGCCTAGTGGTTTTCCCTACTTTCTTCCATTTAAGTTTGAATTTTGCAAGAAGGAGTTAATGATCTGAGCCACAGTCAGCTCCAGATCTTGTTTTTGTTAACTGTATAGAGCTTCTCCATCTTTGGCTGTAAAATATATAATCAGTCTGATTTTGGTATTGACCATCTGGTGGCGTCCATGTGTAGAGTGGTCTCTTGTGTTGCTGGAAGAGATGTTTGCTATGACCAGTGTGTTCTCTTGACAAAAATTATGTTAGCCTTTTCTCTGCTTCCTTTTGTACTCCAAGGCCAAGCTTGCCTGTTACTCCAAGAAATGAGAAAAAATATCCCAGAGGAGGTGATATGAAAGCCCTAAAGGGAGGTGAAATCTATTACAGTAAATTCTAACAACAGCACAATCTAGGCAGAGACATATGAACGTGCATGATGTGTTTAAGGAAGTATAGAGTTTAGAATATCATACTGAGTTTTGGCTTTTATTCCAAAGATGAACAGAAAAATGATATAAGGTTTTTAGCCAGACAATTATAACAAGCAGATATACATTGTTAGAAAGATGAGTCTGGTGGGAACATGAAAAAAAAATAAACTGGCAGCAGAGAAACATATTATGGGGCTATTACAATAAAAACGAAAAGCAATGATAAGAACTTACATTAAAACAAAGACACTGGGGAAGTCCAATGGGGAACAAATTCAAAAAGCAATCATACACTGTTGAGAAAAAGCCAAAAGACCTGAAAAGTGGAAATTGTCTATGCTAGTTCTATCAATCCTGTATAATAGTGGAGCAAGTATAACAAAAGGATGAAAGCATATTCAAGGGAGGTCAGAGGGGGCACTAGGAGAGATACATGGACACTCCAGTCTAAGTTCCTATCGGTCCTTTTCTCAAACTTTATAATACAGTCGCACTGGATAAATGATTAAAATTAAGTAATAATTAGTTTCTCAGTCACGGTAACCACAACGCAAGGGTTCCATGGCCACTTGTAGCTACTGGATGGTACAGATCTACGGAACAGTTCAATCACTACAGAGAATTCTAGTGGACAGTGCCTCTGTAGACAAATAAAGACCTATTCATGAGACGCAATGTCCCCTGGCAAATCCAAATTAGCCATTGTTTTAGTTTTCTCTGGAAAGAAACAAGAAAGCAAGAATTTAGTTACACAGGCTTTCAAAGCACATCATCTCCAGGGACAAGATTAACCTGATAGTACTTATTAGATTACTATATACACAGTAATATAAGATTAACAAGATAGTACTCACTTGTTCAAGGCCTCCACTCCTGCCTTGGCAGAAGCACTTGGTACTACAAAACCTGATCCAGTCTCAGCATAGATGGTTGTAATAGCAAGAAATGATGCGCCTAATATTTTTAAATGATACAGTAATTAACAATACAGCTAAGCCAATTCACATCAGGAAAACATTATTTAATATAATGGGATCTGATTCAAGAGGGTATAACAAAAACTGAAGAACTTTTTAAAACTTTACTAAGGCTAAATTAATGAAACAGTAATCTACTAAAATTGCCTCATCTTTCTTTGCTAGTAATCTTGCTGTCATTCAGGATGGCCCAATCTTAATCAAAATTCTAGGCCAGCCTATACCTAGGCTCAAATCTCAGAGGCCCTGCATAAGCAGATGGATAGGATTTCCATTAGCTATCCACCCATTTAAACAAGAATAAATCAGAACTAAAACTAAATTAGCAGGGACTTCTGCCTTCAGCACCACAGACTTGCCTTCCTCCTGTAAACATAAAGAAACTGTAGCAAATATATGATACAACTATTTTCAGATACTGTTTAGCAGGCAGGGAAGACAGCAATTTCTGAAAGAAGAAAAACAAATGAAATGAGCCATAAGATCACATTTGATATAAAGGTACTATACATATACTATAGTATGTACTACATATATATATATATACATATTATAGTGTATATTACAGTCTATATAGTATATATCCTATAGACATGTGTCATATAGACTGTCGCACAAGGAGTGGGAAAACAGTAAAATATAGCATTACCACGGTGTTTAGGAGACAGACTGGAGTTTGGAGAGAATGAGGAAGTTTGAATTTGTGAGGAGATTTACCCCAAAGGAGAACATATGTAAAGACAGAGCCTCATCAATCTGCATAGTGTATCCTTGAGTCTGGTCAGACACCAAAATGTACATGTTAGGGTAAGAGTCCATAAGGTCAGGAAAGAACCTGGGAGTCATCTGAACAATTCCTGTAGTACACATGGGGCTGGGAGACAAGCGAGTCCAAGGAGCCTTGCTGAGTATCGGGGCTTTCAGCGGAATGTCCAGAAGGGCTGTGCATCAGAAGGAGGGTGTTTGTTGCTCAGCTGCTAAGTTGTACCCAACTCTTTGCAACCCATGGACTGCACCCCAGGCTTCCCTGTCCTTCACCAGCTCCTAGAGTCTGCTCAAATTCATGTCCATTGAGTCAGTGACACCATCCAACCATCTCATTCTCTGTTGCCCCCTTCTCCTCCTGCCTGCCATCCTTCCCACCATCAGGGTCTTTTCCGATGAGTTGCCTCTTCGTATCAGGTGGCCAAAGTAGGAGGATTTAATTAGCCCAAAGTAAAGTCTACTCTAGACGCACCCAAATAAAACTTCAAAGTGAACACTGAACTAATGGACCTGATCCACAAGCTTTTAATTCAAAAGGCAATGAAAATGCATACATATATGTGGACACCACTTACATACACACACATGCACACACCTCAGTGACATAAAATTTATAGCATGCAACCAAAAATTACTACACACGAAAAGATACAGACACAACCAGGAAAAAAATCAGATAATAGAAAGTCTCTCAGAAATGCCATCAAAGGTAGAATCGGCAGATGAAGACCTTTCAGATGATACTGTACACTGCATGGCTGCATGTAAAAACAAATTCTCATGCTGCATACAAAAATAAACCGAAAACGAATCAAAGACCTAAATGTGAGACCTAAAACTGTAACAGTCCTAGAAGAAAATAAGGCAGAACACTCTGACACAAATCACAGCAATATTTTTTTAGATCTGTTTCCTAAGACAAAAGAATAAAGGCAAAAATTAGCAAGTGACATAATTAAACTTAAAAGCTTTCGTACAACAAAGAAAACCATGAACAAGATGAAAAAAACCTCCTAAATGGGAAAAAATAGACAAATAAGATAACTAATAAGGGGTTAATAACCAAGATATGTAAATAGCACATGCAACTCAATGTTAGATAAGCCAAACTGCTCAATTAAAGAATGGGCAAAAGACCTGAATAAACTATTTCCAAAGAAGATATATAGATGGCCATCAGACAGAAGAAAAATGCTCAACATTACTAATCATCAGAGAAATACAAATCAAAAGCACAATGAGGCATCACCTCACACCTGAAAGAATGGCTATCACCAAAAGTCTATAGATAACTAATGTTGGCGAGGATGTACAGAAAAGGGAATCCTAATATGTTGTTGATGGGACTGTAAATTGGGGCAGCCATTATTGAAAACAGTATGGGGTCCTCAAAAAATTAAAAGTAGAATTACTACATGATCCAGTAATTCCATTGCTGGAAAGAAATGAATGAAGAAAAGGAGCATACTAATTAGAAAAGATACCTGCACCCCAATATTCATAGTGGCATTATTTACAATTGCCAAGATATGGAAGCAATCTTAAGCGTCCATCAACAGATGAATGAATAAAGAAAATGTGATGTATATATACACAATAGAATATCACTCAGCCATAAAAAAGAATGAAATTGCGACATCTGCAACAAAATGAATGGTCCGAAAGAGTATCATGCTTAAGAAAATAAGTCAGTGAAAGCCAAATGCTATATGTTATCACATATATTTGGAATCTAAAATCTAAAATGTACTGAAATGTGTGCTCAGTCGTGTCCAGCTCTTTGTGACCCCATAGACTGAAGCCCACCAGGCTACCCTGTCCATGGAATTTTCCAGGCAAGAATACTGGAGTGGATTGCCATTCCCTTCTCCAAAATCTAAAATAAATGAATATATATAACAAAACAGAAGCAGGCCCATGGATACAGAGACCAAACTAGAGGTAACCAGTGAGGTGAAAAAAGAAGGGAGTGGTAAGATAGGAATATAGGATTGAGACACAAACTAGTGTGTATAAAATAAGCAACAAGGACACATTCATTGTACAGCACAGGAAAATATAGCCATTATTTTGTAGTAACTTTAAATGGAGTATAATCCATAAAAATATTGAATCACTATGTTATATACCTGAAACTAACATAATATTTTAAATCAACTATACTTCACAATTTTAAAGTTATTTTTTAAATATAAACTTATTTATTTTAATTGGAGGCTAATTACTTTACTATATTTAAAAGATAGTAGAAAAGACTTCTGTTCAAGATGTCAGAATAGAAGTTATGTGCGCTCATCTCCCCCTGCGAGGCCACCATAAATCACAACTAGCTATTGCACAACCATCAACAGAAGGACACTGGAACCCATCAAAAAAAGATACTCCAAAGTATCTTCTTTGTCCAAAGACAAAGAAGAAGCTGCAGGGAGATGGTAGGAGGGGCACAATCATGATAAAATCAAATCCCAACCTCACTGGATGGGCAACCCAGAAACTGGAGAAAAATAAGCCAAAGAAGTTCTCCCACTGGAGTGATGGTTCTGAACCCAACGTCAGGCTTCCAACCTGGGGATCCAACAAAGGGACTGGGAATCCCCAGGGAATCTGACCTTGAAGGCCAGTGGGATCTGATTACAAGACTTTCACAGGACTGGGGAAATGGAGACTCCAGTCTGGAAGGTCACAAACAAAATCTTGTGTGCACCAAGACTCAGAGAAAAGCAGCAGTAACCCACAGGAGACCGAAGCAAAACTACCTGCTAGTGTTGGAGGGTCTCCTGTGCAGGTGTGGATCAACAGAAGCTCCCTACAGGAAGTGGGGAAGAGGCAGCGGCAGTCTCGGAAGGGCCCCCTTGATGTAAACGCTCTTGAAGGTCATCAGTAACCAGACCAAGAGCCCACAGACCCAAGGGCTGGGTTGGCTCAGGCCAAAAAACTACCAGGGAGGGGACACAACCCCACCCATCAGCAGGTAATTGAATTAAAGCTGTTCTGAGCAAGGCTCTGCTCACTAGAGCAAGACTAGTTTTTCCCACCAGCAGTCCCTCCCATCAGGAGGCTTACACAAGCCTCTTAGTCTCCTCCATCAGTGGGCAGACTGAAGAAGCAAGAAGAACCACAGTCCCACAGTGACTAAAACAAAAGCCATGTTAAAGAAAGTTAATCAGCATGAAAAAGCAGGAAGTTGCGTCCCGGATGAGGGGACAGGATCAAACCCCAGAAAATCAACCAAATCAAGTGAAGATAGGTAACCTTCCAGAAAAAGAATTCAGGATGACAGTGAATATGATTCAGGATATGGGAAAAAGAACGGAAGATCTACAAGAGCTAAAGAACAAACAAACAGAGATGAATAATATACTAGAAGGAATCCATAGCAGAATAATTGAGGCTGAAGAACAGATAAATGACCTGAAGGCCAGAATGGTGGAAATCACTGCCACAGAACAGAATATAGAAAATAGAATGAAAAGAAATGAAGACTGCCTAAGAGACCTCTAAGTGAAGTCGCTCAGTCGTGTCCGACTCTGCGACCCCATGGACTGTAGCCCACCAGACTCCTGCATCCATGGGATTTTTCAGGCAAGAGGAGTGGGTTGCCATTTCCTTCTCCAGGAGATCTTCCCGACCCAGGGGTTGAACCCAGGTGTCCCGCATTGCAGGCAGACGCTTTACCGTCTGAGCCCCCAGGGAAGCCCAGGACAACATTAAACACCTCAACATTCACATTACAGGGGCCCCAGGAGAAGAGAGAGAGAAAGGATCTAAGAAAATATTTGAAGAGCTAATAGCTGAGAACTTCTCTCACATGGGAAAGGAAATAGTCAGCCAAGTCTAGGAAGCACAGAAAGTCCCAGGCAGGATAAAACCCCGGGAGGAACACACCGAGACACACAGTAATCAAACTGACAAAAATTAAAGACAGAGATAAAGTGCTGAAAGCAACAAGGGGGAAAAGACAAATAACCTACAAGGGAACTCCCATTAGGCTATCAGCTGATTTCTTAACTAAACTTGTAAGCCGGAAGAGAGTGGCATGATATATTCAAAGTGATGAAAAGGAAGCAACTACAATCAAGAATACTCTACCAAGCAAGACTCTCCTTTGGGTTTGATGGAGAAATCAAAAGCTCTCCAGACAAGCAAAAGCTAAGAGAACTCAGCACCACCAAATCAACTGTACAGCAAATGCTAAAGGAACTTGTCTAGGCA